AACACCAAACAATACTTGATTTTATTTTTGCAATATTATTACTTTAGCTGATGCACTTAAGGAATGGTTTACGAAAAATTTGAACAACCAATAGCTTAGAGATAGAGTATTCTATCAATTCTGATTTGTTAAACGGTCCCAGGATTAGGAAGAATTTGACCAACGGAAGTTTACTCTTATAGATGCCAAGAAGCTTCAGGCTGTTGCTGGAATTGAAAAATTAGCTGTCATGGAGACGATTGCATCTTATTTTAGAAAGTACTGGTTTGGTGATTGGATTGATTAGTAAAAATTCATCATTTTTGATATCTTTCATATTTTACACTAACACTATAACAGATACATGGCCAGATTATAAATGTAACGATTGTTCTATGAAAACTAATATGCTATTGGAAAGCTATTTTAAAAAAGATATGATATTACACTATTATGGGAGATATACAAAATCTTTACACACAAATCTTGAAAAAATAGCTACATCGATGCGTGTGGACAGTGGGGAGATTGAAAGGTAAATATATTTTTTTTTTTCTTATAAAGTTCTGTAAAAAAAAAAAAAAATTAAATTCTAAGTACTGTAAAAAAAATTAAAATTTATGAATAACATAAAACAATCCTTTCTGTAAAGGTTTTGCGAGAAGAAGGAAAACCTCCTACAACATCGAAATTACAACAAGAAAAAAAAAAAGTATACACAATGGGAGAACTCTTATATAAAAATGACCACATTCAAGGTAAGCATATCTCACTAAATCTTTATATAAGTAACTCTCGATATAAGAACTCTGATATAAGAAAGACTAATAAAATTCGATATAAGAAAATTAAAGTCAAATCTTGTTTATAACAAATCACTTGATATAGAAAGTTATTAATAAACTTTACTATTGCCATTACCTTATTATACCAGATTTACTTACATATGAATTTATATAATATAATATCTGAATTTTAAGAATCGTTTTTGCATAAAAAAAGTTGACTTTGCTGTATTATTATTTGTGCATTATATTCACAATCATTTATATTTTAAATCTTCCAAAAATTGATCAAGATACTTGGAATGTGTTCCGATTTGATACAAATATTGATACTCAATATATTGAAATGGAAGATTTCAGTGAAAAAAACTTTGAATCAGAGATCTCTACTTCAATTAACGGGTACAACAAACCTCTGTGTGCCACACGTAGAAGTGGAAAATTCGCTTGTCCATGTAGCTTTAATGTAATTCGCGGCCACAATTGTCAAGATATTGTAGCCATTCAGTTATTTATTGATAAGCCTGAGTTACAAAAGTAAGCATCATTTGTTTATTAATTTTTTCTATATATATATTAA